TCAATTGATGCCGGTGGTGTTCCTCTTTCTAACCTCCTCCTTCTCCTCCCCATGTTTTTTTTTCTAGTATACGAAACGAAAATGTTCTAGTGAAATTGACATGAACCTTACGGGGCTCTCCTTTCCTATTCAATTCATTCATTCATTGATTCATTCATTCCGCTACATATGCACAGAACGGGATAGAAGGAGAGAGAGAGAGAGGGGGGACAGCCTAAAGCAAAAGAAATAGTGATTGAAATTTTCTTTTTCGTGCAGTCTTCGCCGCCATCATTGTTACTGCTTGATACGATGAGTTTATAGAAGAAAAAAGAAGAAAGTAAAGCTTATATACCGTCTGTTTTACAGCTAGTCTAATTGCTGATCGGGTTGACCTACTAGTTGCAAAGAGGGCAAGTGTCACTCATACCATATAAAGAATGAACAATCAAGACATTTATGTTCTGTTCTTGTTAAGTTCAATTTATATCATAATCTCATCTATATTCAAATTTCTTATTTTGGGTGTGTTTTGTTTGTCAAGTAAGAAAAAAGAGGAACATGAATGACGAAAAAAAAAACGAAACCATGAGACATAATCATACATATAGGCATGTATATATATATATATGTATATGGTATTACTGCTCGATAGTAAGCATAAAGTATCGATAGTGTATGAAGCATAATTACTATATAACTTCCCGATAACTTTCATTTTTAGGTTTCTTTATGAAAAACATACATTTTATTTACGATTCAAAGATCTGTTATTATGACTGTAATATATAGTTCGTATTAAAATATGATTGGATAGAAAATGTCGGCATGTAAACGAACGAGAATAAAAGAAATAGAATATTTTTCCATTAGTCGACAATTCGACTTGTTGTTCTACTCCTTTTTTTTTTTTTTGCTTTTTTCTTTATGTGAAAGTATGTGTAATGCTTGCACGCACTTATAATTGCCTCGTTCTTTCGCTTTCCACTTGATAGTAAAATGTGCTATAGTGCATGTGCATGATTTTTGATAAGAAACGTAAGCATCTCTTTCGTTCTCTCTTTCTTGCTTCGAGATAAGGCTTCGTTCTTTCTCTCATGCACAGTGCTCTTGAGAGGAGAGAACAGTTGTTGGGGTGGTGATGATGATGCTTGTAAGAGCAACCATATCGGTTGAAGCATAATAAAAACAACCTTGTCGACGTTTGTGTCGTGCTTGTCTATGCTTTACGAGAAATATACTAAATGTAGTGAAAAAGTAAAGTGGACTGATTCAAGTGTGCGTATGGCATGTGCATTGCTATATCACATAAATCGCACCATTTTACTTTTTTTTTTGTCCCTCTCTCTCTCTCTCTTATCTTCCTATTAAAAAACAACGTCAATGGACTAGCATATGACAGCTTTGAGTATTCATTCTCTATCCTTTTAGAATTCGATAGGATTACTTGCTCATTTGGCATCTCGGATTTCGCCGCTGTTATCATTGCTTTACGAATGTCATCGGATAGGCAAAGCGTGCGACATATACATATACTCTAATGTCGATTGTTTGCGTAACGATTTAACAGGATTAATTTATCGCAAGCTTTCATCAACGGTTACTCATAGGAATAAAAATGAACAGAAAAAAAAAAAAATTTTTTGAAATCAGTCAAAAAGAAGCAAAGAAAAAGAATCGTTATTTCTATTTCGTTGAAGTTTATAATTTTATTCGAATGATGATCTTTCAATTGATAAATTTTGTAGAATATTAATATCATTAAAGAATTGAAAAATTTATGAATAATCGTTATTATTACATTATCTAAAAAAACACCGATAAAGGCTTTTTTTTTAGTTAATCAAAGGATTTTGACTTTATATGGTTGTAGAAACCTGTTTTATATTCCATATGAAAAATGCAAATTCAATCTTAAAAGATGCATATTATGCTAAGAGACCTTTATCGACTGGATGCCTCTAAATGTATTTCATTATGATATATAAAGTGCATAGAAAGAAATATATCATACTTTGAATCGAACAAAATAGATAACAGTGAACACAAGGTTAAAGTTTTTGCTAGATTTGTTTCAACAAGAAACTTTTTTTTTTTCATACTATTCTAAAACTTTTCACCCATAAACAGTGTATTGTATGCAATGAAGCATATAAGGTATATTCAAGATTGAATAAATAGAAGGTGCGACTATGAAAATTTCAAAAAGTTTCGTCATCTTCATATGTTATCTTGAAACACTAACACTCGACATTTTGACTTTTGTTCTTTCTCATAAATACAAATTTTTTATTATGACAGATTTATTTTTACAATTTATGTCCATGTTCATGAATCATTTCTGACGAAAATTTGTTTGCATTTTCAACAAAAGCTCTTATGAAAAAAATATTTTATCAAAGTAAGATTTGAAGTTTTGAATACAAAATTATAAAAATAAATTTCTTCGTCACTCTTTACATATTATTGAAAAGCTAAATCAATTACATAAAAAACAATATATGAATGAGATAAACTCAACATCATGAAAAATCTTTTAATTCTAAACTGCTATCAATTGATTAAAAGCATGGATGAACTTACAGTGAAGTGTAATGCTTTTGTTATATCTGTTAAATTATATTGAAATAAATCTGAATCAAGTATATTTGATGCATTAACTAAGAGCTGGCAAGTTGATATCAGAGAGTGCAGAGTGAAAATGATCTATTTGAGACATAAGAAAAAAAAAAAGGCATCTTTGAGACATGCGTTAATTATAACATACTATTTTTACATTGTTCATTATTTTGTTATTACCTATTCAATGTTAATGAATCAGAAGCAGCTGTATTTTGTAAACAGAATTTTTCAATAACTACTGTACGTATAATACTGAACGAGACATTGAATGGCCTGCTGAATAACGAAGCTGAAGACTTTTAATTACATTGAAGAAATGAACCGAAAAAAAAGAATGATTTCGATAAAATTGATGTAATATATTCCATTTGAAGTGATAGTCATAGAATGATTGCAAACGTAAGTATTATAGTCGAACTTCTAAATATAGGCCGAGTTATATTTGATGGTTCTTAGACAAGAATATATATATATAATGATAAAAAGAAGAAAATTAAGCTTTTTGTGCTTGATAAATATTGTTCAGATAACTTCTAACACAATTAAGAGTTTAAGATCTCTGGAAAAATAACCAAGCTGATATTACTGTGAATCATAAGAAACGTTATATGTTCATCGTTGTTAAATAAAAGTTACTACCAAATAGCATCTGGATCAACTGTACACTTTGCTTGATATGGATTTACATTTAGATTGGCACAATAATTGAAATACCTAATAAGTTTCAATAATAGTTTCTATCATGAATAAAATTAAATTTACTTGACTGATGATAGCATGTTGAACATATTTTCAAGCATAATAATATATCAAGTTCTATTGAGTAAAATGATTCTCTGATAAAACGCAATTTTCTCTTTGGTATTTATGTTACTAGTATCAATTACATCGAAATGATTAGTTTTATTGATTTTTGAATAATATAGTATGGTGTTGACTAGCATAGAATCGGACAATGTAAAAGTGAAAAATAGGTACAAAATTCATGAATTTAACGAAAGATAGTTTCATCAGAAATATCCATTGAATTATTCAATAACTCCAGTTTTGATTTCAATATGAGAAGTTCTTTAGGACCAGTTTTTTTTTAACAGGAAGCTATGTATATCGGAAACCGTTTTCATTCTCAGAATAAGATGGATTATCCACCTTCTTGCAATATATACGTACATGCATAGTACTTTTACTCTTTTTTCTTCAAATAGCATATATTCAAAACAATGCATAATTGAAATTTCACCAACATTCATTTCAATTAAATTCAATCCAATTCGATGAATTATTAAATTTTCGCCATGGGAAACGTAAAAAAAAGCAGAATTCACAGTGATAATCAGTCGTGCTGTACTATTCAGTGGTATTTTCACCTATGCCTGCGCACTGCGAGGCATGAAATCAGTAAAAGCAGCTAGAACTGGTATTCTTTTAATATCTGTCATTTGTTGAATTATTTATTTAGCAAGTTTAAATTGTGATTCATGCCATCTTTTACGACTATGGACTAGCATGCTTTTGAAGATTACAAACTAAAAACGCTAGATCTGTGGAATAATAATCTAATTCCAATTGTGTAAAACGCATTCGTAGAAAGACCCTACAATGGCATCAAATAGAAATTATTCGTCTATTCATTGATTGTTTAAAAAACTATGCCTGATGATGTTGAAATGAGCATCGATTTAGATGAAAAACTATTAAAAAGTTGAAAAACATCTTTGTTATAGAATGCTAGATTAGCATTGTTCGAAACATTAAAGAATTGAGTAATTGAAGCCCTATCAAGTACACAAAAGATTAAATTCATGATTGCTTGTGTCCATCAAATGGTATTGTCAATCGCATAAATTTCTTTGAAAAAAATTCTAAAAGTAGATCAATTTCTATTGAAAACTAATAAATTTGTCAGTTGAGTAGGGTAAAACTGATCAAAAACTATCGACGGTTAAGTTTGTTATTTTCAAATAAAACAATCTTTTTTTAGAATTTTTGCAGAAAGAAAAAACAAACTTCTTCTTATTCGTTTCGATATCTTCTTCTAGATCATGGACAGATTGTGTAATATGAATTGAACAATGTTACATCAAAAGATAGATTGTATCATCATTTAAAGAGTTAAGAATGAATTTATTTATAAATTGTCTTCACAGAAAATTTTAAAATAGAACAGAAAAATTAAAAAATATTTCACCAAAACCAAAATACTTCATTGTACATAAGTATAGATGCTAGTAGTATCTCAATCACAGTAGAAGTTATATCATATTGTACATTCAAAAATTAATAATAAGAATTTGTTCTGAATAACATTCAATAATTAATAGGGAACCGAAAATGAAAAAATAATATCAATACAGATTCATAAAAGAAAAAGATTGAAATTTAAATGAAGTTAGAAATAATTATTGTATTTTTTTGTTGTAATTGAAATAATGCTTAAAAGGAAATTGTTGTTTTGGAATGCTTAATGGCACATCAATATTGTTCAATGTCGATCGATATTTATTGTATAATTCACGAGCAATCATAATTGAATCACCTAAAAATGTATAAAGATTGATTTACAAAAAAAAAAGAAATCGTATAAGAAAATTAACCTTGTGTAGTTGTTGGATAATGCTTTGTATCTAACATAATAAATGGTAATTCAGCTTCGAGAAATAAACGTTCCTCCAAAACACCACTATCAACAGGTTGACCCTGAACATGCATTATTTTATTCAAAAGATAAATAAATAAAAATAAATATATTATACTTCTACAAGACTTTTAAGTAACATGTCAAAGAAGACATGCCATCGAGGAGCATAATAGCTATAAAGAAATAAAACTATTAAGTAAATAAAAATAAATAATAAGCAGTACGAATTCATGTAGTTATTATTCTAAACAACTTAATTGACACATATTTTATAAGTAAAGACTTTTAACTAATAAAATTTTGAAGAATATTTTTTAATTAACACGTTTTTACATAATAAAAAAAGATTCCATAAGTTATGGACCTCATCAAAAATTACTTTATATGTCATTAAAAAGTGATCCCTACTTAACTATATTTCTATGAGTTTTGAGTATTTAGGATAGTGTTTTAAATGGTACATCAGTCGATCACATTATCACTTTTAATATTAGTAATATAAACAAAAGAAAAATAATAATTAAAATCCCAAAATCAATCAGTATTCTTGTTTAGGAAGTTCTAATGAATTATGAATACTTTGTAGGTAATGTAAGACAATTATAAAAAGCAATACATGGTATCGAAGGTGTGGGTTTGACTATCCTCTATATCCACATTCCTAATTATCACATTTGTTTGGTTCATATCACTAATATTAAAGGAGATAACGTCATCGGATAATATGTCATATAAAACATCGTCCTCAATACTCGAAGCTCGTATAGATATGGTTGAATATGGACCACTCTTTATATATTACTTTTTCTGAAAGCAGAAAATGAAATACTAATGGATGAATTCGAGAATCTAGATTCGATACATAAAAATATTGATTTTTATCTTAGCAAGTAAAAAGAATAATTTCTATACATACTCTTGAATCATTCCAGACCAAAATTTACTTGCATAATCATATAATTCTAATGTATAATTATTTCCCCAAATGGATATTTGAAGTTTAGCATTAAAATTATAAAAATGAATTTCTTCTTCACTCTTTGCAAATTTTAATGCATCACCGATCCAATTACCTAATAGAAAACGACGATCTGAAGCTAATACCATTTCCATATCAGCCAAAATATCAACAAGAATAGCTGCTTGATTACTTAAAAAGAGTTAAAATATTCGAAATAAACCACAACATATTATTATTAATTACAGACCCAACTCCGTAGAGATCTTTTTGATTGAAAGCAGCTATCAATTGACTATAATCAATAGCAAATTTATATTGTAGAACTTCTTTAGTAATATCTACTAAATCATATCGAAATAAATCCGAATCAAGTTCAGCTGACGCATCAACTAACAGTTCCCAAGCAAAAAATAGAGATTTGAGATCGAAATTGATCTAATATGCAAACCGGTATAAATTCTTTTCTCATACATAATGCAAAGCAACTTACAGCTTGATCTTCACTAACTCCTGGTCTGTGTAACATTAATGAATAACCACCACTCTGAGTTTTCTGATAAACTGAATTTCCTAATATTTGCCAAGCGTACAGTGCAGAAGTAGGCATTGCATCATTACTTGCATATCGACGTAAGACAAAATCGACTAACCTAAATAATCAGATTTATATTTGAAAAATGACCTGCGCTTAAATAGAGTCACCATTGATTTAATTCACTCGCTTTCAATGGAGTGCGCCATGATTGTTCCAGTGCAAATTCATACATAATTTCGTTTTGATTTATACCTTCCATTGTGATACCAACACCAATCATATATTGACCTGAATAGTTACGAGCAGCTTGTGGTCCCTAAAATTAACATTCAGTTTCTTTCACAGTCATATAGAGCTATAGTTACATTGGTAACATCAACAAGAGAACCGAACAAATCATTATTACCACCAAAATCATGTAACATATTCCATATATAAAAATGTCCATAGAATGATTGAAAACGTGCATATTGTGGCATCGCTTCAGAGTAGAGGTCTAATAAAATGAGATTTCCCTTTTATGAGAAAATATACTTTATACAATAATACATCTAAGATGATTAAGCTTTTCGTACTTGAGGAACTTTGCTCAGATAACTTTTGACACGGTCAGGCGTCCAAAAACCTTCAAGAAATAACCAAGCTAACATCACCCTAAATCAGAAATGAAAAAGTATATTCTTTTCATGCTAGTAAACATCTACCAAACAGCATCAGGATCAACCGTTTTCATAGTTTGAAAAATGCGTGCATTGATATCAGCCAAATAATTGAGATCACTATGTAAGATGTTTAAATAAATAATAAACTTACAAAAATTAAAAATACCCAATCGGTGGTGGCATCTCATTGAATAGATCACAAGCAAAATAATGTGAATCTATGTTAAGAGAAACAATTGTCTAAAATTAAAAAAGAAATTTAGCTTTCTCTCATATCTAATTCATAAATTACAATGTACGTTACAACAAAAGTGTATCATAGTGTTTAACATCAAATGCTATAAATCTCAAAATGAGAAGTCTCAGGAATAGTATATACAATTTTTTTTAATCAATTTAATATACAATCAAAATTCTAAATGCAAATTTGCAAAAGACCAAGACTAGTAGTGTTATTGACTTTGTCATTAAATTTTTCAAAAAAAAATCGAATATCTACAAAGCAACATACTTCATTAAGTAGGGCAACACCAACTGTTTGAAAAAATGGATCAGTTGGATCAAGATATGGCAGACTAAGATGAAACAGAAATATTTTTCTTTTCGTTGACATACATCGTATGGCTTCAAACTTACCAAGATTCATTACAACCGAAGCCGACCCAATTCGCCGAATAATGAAATTTCGCTGTAGGAAAATGTCTAAAAAAAATATCATAATGCATTATTCTTCTAATAACGTAAATACGAAAAAAAAAACTATAATTATGGATTCAACGTTAATTGACAAAATATTTCTCATCAGTATATGTGACTTGAACAGAATCTTACACGACTACGAAGACTAATGACATAGCTTGACAAAAAAGTATAGCTACCGATCAATAAAAGTTGAATATTAAAGCTATCATTAACAGCAACTCACTTAGGTGCAGTACGAGGCATGAAACCAGTGAAAGCAGGTAGAACTGGAATGATTCCAATATCAGTCATTCTTTGAATTATTTGTTTAGCAAGTTCAAATTGTGATTCATGCCATTTTCTTGACAATGGACCAGCATGCTTTTGAAGATTACCCATACGATGCCTTTTATTAACATTCAAAAATCGTTCTCTACTAAATTATAAAAAGAAATAAATCTCTCGATCTCTTACCAAGCTAAAAAAGCTGGTCCCGTGAAATAATCATCTAATTCCGATTGAGTAAAACCCATTCGTAGAAAGACCTTATAACGTATCAAATAGAAAATATTCATCCATTGATTGATCTTTGTTCTTTAAAAAGAAAACACTGACTTTACTAAAAATATATTCCATTCCAGTTGTTGCATATGCTATATTGATACCATTCATAGCCATCCAATCTATCTCTTTTTCCCATCTGCATATTCAAAAACATAAGAAATTAATACAAAACTCATAGAAACGAAAATTTACCTGGAAAAATTCCAAAATACAGCTGAATAACTGAATGTACATGGATTACCATACCAACGAAAAACGTCATTGACCACAATTTGAATCTGTGTAGATAATGGAATTAATGATGATTGAGGTAGTTGGATATTTTTGCCTGACCAATAAACTACACAAAATATAAAGAAATAAATCGATAAAATAAAGATAAAAATTTAATCATACATGAATTCTGTGCAACATATTTGAGATAGTAATTGAATCCCATTGCAGCAGCTACACCTGATGATGCTGATATCAGTATTGATCCAGGTGTAAAACCATTGGAAAGTTGAAAAACATCTTTGTCATTAACTGTTAAGTTAGCACTGATCAAAACTTGAAACAATTGAGCAACTGGAGCATCATCAAGTACACGAGAGATCAAATCTGTGATTGCTTTTGTTGTAGTTGAAGAAACTGCAGGTTTCGACCATCGAATAGTTTTGCTAATTACATACGATTCTTTGAAAAAAAGATTAAATAATATGTCACGAATTTCCTCGTTGGAATCATAGAAATTTTAATTTCATCGAATCTTAGTACGCATTAAGTTAATATTCTTTGAATTCTTCAACAATGAAATAAAGCAATAATCTACATTAGTTTTAAATTTTCATTTTGCCTTCCTGAGAGAAAACTTTTGCTCATTATATGTTCACTGTTTAGATATTTGATTCTAAGCTAAACATTGTTTTATAAGTTTCGATCCCATTTTTTTTTGTATCTTAGCTGTATTGAAAGATGGATAGATATTGAATATATATACTTGTAATTTAGCACATCAGCTATTATCCAAGAGAGATTGGACTCATTTTGCATTAACTCAAAAGAAATACTATATTGACGAAAAATATAGATAGAGTTTCATCCAAGTCATTGTTTCAACGTGACCAAATGTTAAGGAATTCTATTATTCAAATACATATATTTAATACCTATCCACCTTCAAATGCAAACTAAGATAGAAAAGATAAGATTGAAACTTATGAAATATTTTTTATTTTTTTTCTGTTTAAAATTTTTTTGTGTTTACTTAGATATTATCTAATCACATCTAACTTCATCCGTGCTTGTAAACTTCAAAACTTGCCTGTAAACAAGACAACGAAATTAATGTCACGAAAATTAAATTTAAAGAACTATCAGCATAATTCAAATGCATATTTTTATAAGGTACGAAATAAAAACATTACAAATGTGCCAAAATAATCCTGACCCAAGTCAAAAGATCACAAATTGAGATTATTTAAATTTTCACGATTTTCCTTTTTTTATTTTTTAATTCCAACAGACAATAATAAAAACATGATGGTTACAAGATTAAAATCCAATACAAGTTTAAAGTATATTAAATGTAGAAACTAAAGAGTAAATGTGTTCTTTTTTTTTAGAATTTCAACTTAGGAGACGATAAATTTTCCGTAATAATTGTAACATGATTCAAATTTCTTTTCAGGAAAAATCTTCTTTAAATGTATTTGACTTACGATGTAATAAAAGTAGGACGACCACATATTGTAATATAGAACGCAACATTATTATCTAGAGAGCACAGGTTTAGTTTATTCTTGGGTTCCTTCTTTGTTTCTGCGAAGATATGGAATAAAGATAAAAAGAAGTAAAGATCAACAAATAACAGAACAAAGGCGAAAAAAAAAAGTCAACAGTTTGATAACTTATGTTCTAGATTAGGAAACAAAATGAAATGTTTATTTGTTATTGTTGTTTGTTTTTGTGTTTATTAAGTTCGTACGGCATGAACAGTTTCTTCTTTGTTAATTAAATGACATGTTTTATTAATAATTGTCATCAAAGAATTAAGATTAACCGACCATTCATTAAGAATTTCTTGTGGAGATTTCTTTTGTTGAAATGTAACAATATCTTGAAGACGATCAATCTTAGCATTAATAGTTTTATTTGAAACAAGATTTGATAAGAATTGTTCGGCTTCATCTTTAGTTAAATCAAGTAATTCAGCCATTTTTTGTGTATGAACACGTGTATAATATTTAGCCATAATGCGCATATTCTATTCAATAGAAAAAACAAATAATAAAGTTTTTCAAAAAAATTCATTTTAATTTTTACATGTTCAACAACACGAATTTTAAAATCTTCCCAACGTTTATTTCCATCATCATTTTTAGCAAAAACATTTGTTGCTAAATCATCTTTTGTACCATTTTTAAGGTCATTTTCAAAATTTTTTAATACATCTTTCCAATGAATAAGTTCTTGAGTTTTAAAACGTTGTAATAAATCTCTATTTATTTCGATAATAATAGAAAATTTAAGAAAAAAAAAAAGTATTTCTTTACTTGTATTTAGGAATTTCTTCAAGATTTTTATCAAGAAATAAACGATGTAAAAAATCTGATTGTTCATTGTTATATGGTGATAAAGTTAAATAGAGTACAACATGTTTTAATGCTTGTTTCATTTTTTCTGGATCTTGTTTTATACGTGGTGTTTCATAATAATGTTTATAATGTTGACAAACATCAAAATAATTTTTATCATGTAAATCCATTTGAATCATTAATTCATAATATTTTAATTTTAAATCCTTTATAAAAAAAAAAAAGCAAGAAAGGTAATTTTTAGTTGAAATGAATATACGAACTAAGCAAATATTTCAAAAAAAAGTCATTTGAAATTACTTCAAAAAATTGACATAAAAACGTTGAAATTAGAACAACTCAAATCCTCTTTGTTTAAATATAAGATTATGCTAAATTCAAGAATTTCATTAAATACTCTATCAATTTCTTTTAGCATATCTTTTTCATGATATAGTGTTAACTTTATGAAATACAAAGTTTGAAATTTGTCTGCGACATTTTTTATTATTCGACCTATGATAGAAAATTTCACAGTCAAATAAAAAGTCGTATTTGTGTTGCCCAGTTTTGCTTGAGAACATGTACAGCGACGCCCAAAATTATTCATCAAGGTTTATTTTCAATTCTTTTCCATAGCAGTAACCGCTAACTAAGCATTCAGATAGTGATTTGTGTAGAGAATTTTATTTTCGAAGATGAAAATAATTACTAGTTTTTCTAGGATATGGTCTCTGAAAAATCAAAGTATTCAAGTCATAGAATTTGCATACAAAATTCTGGTCAAATTTCAGACTAATCAAGCAAACAATTGTTTACAAAAATGCAATGTCTTCTGACGTCCTATAATATTTTCATGATCAAGATAGATCAACTTTTTTTTCTGTAATTTCGTATATAAGCATCATTATTGTGCCTTCCGTAATATTGATGTATCTTGGACAAAAAAAAGAAACGGCATAGAGATCTTGAAAATGTCTCATTTTGTAGGGAAATTTTTCTTTGATCATTCTATGCAAACAAAGAGGGTTCTAATTTGCAAAATCTAACAGACGAAAAACTTGGCTTTAGGCCCTTTAAGAATCTATCCTTAGAACACTAATAATTATTTTCATCTTCAAAAATAAAATTCTCTACATAGATCCGTATGTGGATTCTTATTAGCAAATACAGCTAGTGGAAAAAATTGGATACTAAACCGGAGTGAATCATTCTTGGAAATTATTGTATTTTCTTAAAATACGAATAATTCTAACTATTTTTATAGCAGTGAATTGTTAAAATCAATGAAGTCAAAGGCATTTTTTTTTTATCGATTAAAAATTATTTTTCATTTTTAATAATAAATAAATCGAATAAATTGATTAATTGATTTAAATTTAGTTGAAAACTTACATGTGAACTTTCGTCTTCGAATGCTTTAATATTAATTTTTTTCGATATAATTTGTGTTCGAATGTAATCATTTTTAGCTAAACAAAGACGCATTTGTTCAAGTAAAAATTCAAGTTTTTCACGACGATCCATAGTTCCATAAGTTTCAACCTAAATAATAAATAATTATAAAGTCAAAAATAAATGTTCTATTTAATAAAAAATGAAGTAAACAAAATTACTTGAAGTTCTTGTAAAATTTCTGCTGCTTCCTTTGTATTACCTTGTCCTTCATAAATATCAGCCAATTTTTTTGTTAAACGTGCACGTTCATTTTCAACAAAGATCTAAACAAAAAAAAAATACAAGTTGAAATTTCGAATTTGTTGTCTTATAAAAACATTTTTGTTTCTTACTTTGCCCGTAGTAACATTTCGAAGTGTTTCAATTAATTTAAGTTTTGTATCTAAATCTGGTGTTTTTTCCACTAGTTCATATGCTTCTTGAACCATTTTTGTAATGGCTTGTTTTAATTGACTTCGACGTTTTGATAATGTTGTAATATGTTCATTCATTTGTTCCCATTGTCTTGCTGCATAACAATATTTAATAATAGCTACAAGAACACGACCAGTGGAAATAGCATCAGCAGCCTAAAAAAAAAAATCTTATATAATAACAAAAAAAAAACAACACGAGCAAAGAAATTTTCATGGAATTTCATACAGTTCGAGTTTGCTTTTCAAGTGGTAATAGACGATCGAGTACTTCGTTTAATTTTGTTTCATCCTAAATAAAATTTCATAATTATGAAAAAAACAATTTTCATAACTCTTTTTTACTTTCATTATTTCATCACATTCTTTAAGTTTTTGATCAACAACAGATGAATAATCGATTTCCATTTTAACAAGTCTATCACTGTCACCCATGATTAAATGTTATTAATACCTGTTAATCTACAAAAGAAGAATGTTGATTGTTAACAAAACCACAATGAAATGATTTTTTGAATCAGTGAGTTCATTTATGAAGTATGAAAAAAGCAAGTATTCGATTGGAGAACATGTTTACCAGTGTAATATGAAGAAACTAAATAATAATAAAAAGACTCATCTGGAAGGAAAATGTACAGCAGATATGGCTATCCTAGCAACGAAAACAATGAAAAAAAAATTAACATATTGGTTGAATTATGTTTTTTGAAAATTGTATATTTTTAAAGTTAAAAATGTTAGAAATTGAATTTTTTTTTGCTATGCATTGGTCTATTATTTTTTGTCAGGGTGACATTAGTAAATAATCTGCTATTGGTTTCAGCAAAGTAATGCAATGAGAACATTTGTTGTATTTTGTCTATAGCCGAAAATTATAATTATTTTAAATCAAAGTTATTTGACCAAAGTAAAATATATAATTACTTAATTTCAGCGATAATAATTTTATTTAATTAAAAAAAAAAGATGTTTTCAATATAGCAGTATCGTTTAATGAAGTAGGGTTGATGTTTGTCTAGGAGTTTTCGTAGTTCTATCTAAGCAGGTTTAGAATCTTATGCAATTGTTACCAAGAGTAAAGCTGTGAGATATATGATTTCGTCATATACTAACAAAAGCTTCTAATTTTTCTTGCGATACATAATAAGCAAGGATTGCAAACGATAGAGGTTATCAAGTTCTATCGGCAATAAACATTTTAGAACAGCGTGCTTTTGTTACATATCACATGTGTTGAGGAGACATTTAAGCTTCGAACGATACAAAAAAAAATTAGCGAAAGGAACAAGAAGAAATTATTATTTAAATGGTTATTTTTATATATTCATTCAATAAATTTTATAAATGTAATCATGGAAAAAATAATAATAAAATTCATTTTGGTAATTTTATTCATTTGAAATGATTTCCGAAAAACATAGCGTTATTTTCATTTTTTCTATATCATTTTCATGCAAATGATAGTGAAAGTTATAGTGCAATTGACTTGATGAATATGTTTCAAGTATTTAAGTGGATACTATTCCGAATCTGATTTTCTTTTTGTTCCACAAAACAAAGATAGCTATTAACCTTAAAATATTTCGGGATGTAAGCAGTATTGCAAGAAAATCTTTTGAAAGCTGAAAAGGTGCAGATACTATTTTTTAGAAGTAGGATGAAATGCTGAACCCTTTTTTCGCATTTTATGATCTTGTTTTTAATGAAAAATATGATTTGGCCTGCGAAAAACTGCTCTAGACGAAATTTTTTTTTCATGCTCTTGACCTGCGCAGATCTCAAGATTTGTCCATAGCACATGACTTTCTTGCTCAAGACAAGCGCTTCAGTGTTGCATGAAAATACACCTATGAATGTTTATTAAAAGTTGAGTTGTTTTGAACGTAAAATTGCAAAAAAATCTATAAACAATTCCTTAATAACAGAAACGCTTGCATAAGAATTCAAGCGTGTGTGCAAGAATATCAAGCGCATGGGCAAGAAATTCAAGAGCTTGAGCTCGTTGAAAGGTCTCAAGTCTTGCCTCAAGATTTGTCCATAGCGCATGAGTTTCTTGATCAAAATTCTCAAGTATCTCCTGCGCAGACCAAAAGAAGTTGGTCTAGGGTGAAAATTTTCTAAAAATAGAGGTGCTAACCCCCTACTCTCATGGATACATCTCTGGATGCAAAAAACCAAAAATATACCTCGAAACAATGAAGGCATGGTAAATTCCGCTTTCCAGGAAATTCAAAATTGTCTACACGTAGAGTGCAGGAGATGGCAATGAGCAGTACTAATGTGACAATGGCCAGAGCTAATTTTCATATATAGAGGCATATTATATATTATTATATATAACTGTTCTGATACTATATCATAAAAAAATGTGTCTATAACAGATCTCTATTATTTATATTCTGATCGAATCATGGCACGCATTTTTATATATACATAATATATGGTTTGATTTAGGGTTGGGTCTGGTTGGGTTGGGCTGGGTCGAGTTAGGTTGGGTCGGGTTGGGTTGGGTTGGGTTGGGTCGGGTTGGGTTGGGTCGGGTCGGATTAGGTTGGGTTGAGTCGGGTTGGGTCGAGTTGGGTTGGATTGAGTAGGGGTATGGGTGTGAGCATCGTTTAAGAGATGATAGACACCCACACCCATACTGATACCCACACTGCACACCCACACCCTATACCCACCACCCACACTCACACTCTTTCAGCTGATTGTGACGCCTATGCTTTTTTTGAAAAAAAAAGAGAATTTGTTCAAGTATCAGACAACCTTTCACATGAATATCAAGGCGAGAATGCAATAATTAGTGATCGGAAGGTGATGGCGAAAAAATTTGAGTTTTTCCTGTGTTGTTTTGAATAAATCTTTTCTTCAATAAAGTCTTATACTAATTTGAAGTTCGTAATACAATGTCAGATGACTTAGTACTTAAACTTTCATACATCATGTCTTTCAGAAATATTAAATTGAAACAACAAAAGTTTTGTTGCTAGACTGTTCATTATTTCGTGGGAGAGGGATGATAAAAGTCTCATTTAAAACTTAATTGCTTCCCCTAAAAAATTGAGCTTACGCCGTCCATGCATGTACATATATGGCATGAATAGACTGATGAAAACTTTGATTACCAGAAAATTACTCTTCAGCGCACTGTTAGCCCGAATGATAATTAAATTATGTATACGTTCAATTTACTAAAATAAACATATTATTATCATGAATAAAATATTTAATATAACTTACAATAATATCTGTAAATTTTATAACAAGTGTTATATCTTTTCCAAGTATATTTGAATAAAAACATAGATAATTTACAGATAAATAAAGTAAACCTTGCTGAGATACACGATCACGCCAATAAGAACATGAATAATCTTTAAGAAAAAGAACATATTTTATAAAAAAAAAATATGAAAATTGACTTTTTAAAGTATACTTGCTGATTACAAGTTTTTCATTGACTGACATATTAAATAATTTCTAAATTGCTTTTGTTTCATTTATTTGAAGCCTTCTCCTAGGAAATTCAAATATTTAATTTTACAAATTTATTTTTCTTTAGTGCACTTGAAATGGTATCACCTTAAATATGCAAACTTGAACAATCGTCCTCATCTACTTCACCCAAACCATCATCGAAAGCTTCATCTTGATAATGGAAAGTATCATTTTGTACATAGTACTTTTTTGGTTGTTGTGGAGTCAATACGAATGTTTGCATGAAACGACGTATTGGATCACCATTATTCGATAATTCACCGGTAACCCAAAGAAAATATAAAAAACAATGTTATTTTTTTATGTTTAAAATTTTCGTTGGAACAAAAAAAGAAATTCTAATTAATAATATTAACCTGAACTACAACTCCATCACAAATAGTTGAATGTGATTCGATCTGACGAATCTTTGCATGACAATCCTGTAAATTAAGATCATTAATTCATTGAGAAATATTTTCCGGGCCGATAACACGTTGTTCAACACAATCTAGTCGATCAACACTACCATGAATGAATTTATTATCTGTAGAATAAAATCTAAATTGAAAGAGAAAAAAATAAATATATTGAATAGAAAAACAACAATCTAGAGTACCGATGAAGCAAATGAGAATCCTGATGTAATACTGATGGATGAATGCATGGTATACCTAATTAAATAATATGAAATTCCTAATGAAAACAAAGAAATAAACAGACGCATCAAACGGGGTCGGACTTGTTTGCACCATATTATTAGTTTGTTGAAGAGATAGGATGAAATGAGATCGCCATTCGTTTAGCTGGTGTTTCACTGGTAACATTAAAACTGATGTTCTCCCTCATAAAAAGTGTTCCACTGTGTGATGTTAACATCACACAGTGGAACACTAGCTAAAGGAATACCGATGAGATCTAAAATCAAAGAAAGGTAATCGAGACAATTCATTTGTTAACAATAGTAACACAATAAATGAGTGAGAGAAAGAGTAAAGACGGACGGACAATAAGTCGGTGTATAGATGCAGTTGCTAACAAAGCAGAAAAAAGTTAGCAGCACAATGTGAGATTGACATAACAAAGATCATGGCTGTGCGCTAAAGCCCGGTGGTTCCAAAAAACATGGAGCCGAGAACCGAAATTGGAATCGTTTTTAACAGCTACTCAGAATCGGAGCCGGAACCGGGACCGGGAGAAAGAAAAAAATGGACCCAGAACCGAAACCGTTGGAATCGAAAAATTCTTGACGACGATTGGTGTCATCTATATGTTTTATTGTACTATGATTAGAGCCGGACGGTTCCAAAAAAAATGGAGCTGAGAACCAAAAATGGAACCGCTTTTTTTCAAGTTTACTATCCGGAACCGTCGGGCTCTACAGGTAGGGGCGTAACCAGAAAAAAGGCGTAGAGGGGCCTCTGCCCCCTCCTCCAAATAGCGCACATAATCTCTGAGATAGGTAATGGTGGAACTGTTTCGCTCTTTCATGAAAAATTAACTCTGTTTGCCATTTTTGGAATGAGTTTCTCATAATAACAGCGCAATATAAATTATTTTTCGCGTTGGTTTTTAGTGTTGATGACACAATAATCGCGTAAAAATATTTAATGTTTGTTTCGCCAGGAAACACTCTCAAAGACGCAATTTTTCGTAAAAAAATAAAACATTTTTTTCAAAAATCTATATAAATTCATATTTCGAGTGACAAGCGCAAAACGAAGTTAGTTGTCTTATACCCACAGCCACCTTCGGCGGCTAGACTCTGAATAGTTATTTCAAAAAAAGAAGACCACTATGAACGGTGAAAGAACGCTTTATTGCTGGAAGCAAATGAAAGAATGAAACTTTATTCTAGATTTGAGTCGAAGTGAAAAAAAAAAGGGTTATTGATTAGAAAAAAGTATCTTGAAGTAACTGATTGGCGAAACGAATTTTTCTTGAATAATAAAGCAAGAAAATTGAGCTATAAAAATATGTTTCTCAAAAAATATCTTTCAGATTCCTCATTTGTTGCGTTTTGAATGAACTAGAAAGTGATTCAAAGGTTTGACTCTCTTTATTGTGACATTCTGTATACTGCATTACATATATTCTAAGTTTACTGAAATATACAGTCTTATGGGTGATGTCAAGGCTATCAGACGAAAATTAATTCAAATTCATAAGATGTCATGAAAAACCGTTGCCATTTTATTAATTGTAAGAAAGCATTTTCATCTTATATTTTTAGGAAATAAAAATATTTTTGTCATGTGCAAAGGATCCAAAGGTGATCAGACTGTTGTTTTAAGGTGCTTTAATAGATACATTTAGATGATCACATAGAATTCAACAAACTCAAAAAGAATATGCATGTCCAAACATATTCATACACATTTTTCGATGAAAAAAAATCCTTGAAGAAAACTAGAAAATCAAATGTGAATCTTGCATATTTTTCGATAGAAAGAACATTCTGAGTTTTCGATGAGACCACTTCATTTGATTTTTTTAAATTAAGAACACTAAGTAAAACTTATTTCAAGTGAAAGCTTTCATCTTCCTGTACCAAACGATTCATTTCAATTACTAATTAGATGTATATATGGCATAGATAACGGGAATTTATATAGAGGAGTCGAAATCTGTGGCCATTCTTCAAATAAGCGCTACTAGAG